ATTCCCTAGCATTTTTGGATTTAGCTTGGTCTAGGATGCTCACAGTTTCCCAGTTGAAATAGTGGTTGGGTCTCTCCATGTGTTGTGAGATTAAGGAGTTTTCATCGTATGTCTTCTGACTGCTAGTTGGTGTTCATAGATGTGCTCTTCTAGGCTTCTGCCTGTCTGTGAAGAATAGTGGCTCCCACGCTTCTATGGACTCTCAAAAATACACAAGCCCAACATACCTCTTTGTCCAATTGTATCGTTACCAGGGACCCCAACATAAAACATAGCCAAAGAACTTACAAAAAAGCTTGGACATTTCACAGAGGGGAGCAAATATTCTATCAACTCCCCACTGCAGTCCCTCCAGAAAATCAAAGATCTAAAAATAGAAGATGAAATTATGGTTTCATTTGATGCCACAGCTATCTTCACATCAATAGATCCAGAACTAGGAAAGAATCCATGGCAGCAGTACTACACAACACACCTGACCTAGCCAAATACACTAAGATTAAAATATCCAGAATCATAGATCTCATCAACCTCTGTATCACTACCAACTTTTAATCTGATGGACAAATATATCAAGAAATCAGAGGAACAACCATGGGATCACCACTCTCAGGACTCAGAGCAGAGACTGTAATGGAGCATCTAGAAATTGTAGCACCCCCGCACATACAACCAAAAGCATGGATATGGTATGTAGATGACACCTTTGTCATAATAAAAAAGGAACAACTAGAGAAGACACATGAAACTATCAACAACATCTTCAAAGGAATAAAATTCACAAAGGAAAAAGAAAACAACACGCTACCCTTCCTGGATATCCTCATCAGCAGAGGAAACAACAGCAAATTAGAAATACAAGTCTATCAAAAAACTGCCCACACTAACCAAGTGCTCCATTACCAAAGTAACAACCCATCCTCCCACAAGAGGAGCTGGGTAAAACATTATTCAGAAGAGTATAAACGCACTGCAGCAACCTAGAACATCAGAAAAAAGTAACAGATCACCTATACAACATCTTCCAACAAAATGGATACCCACACAACTTTATCAAAAAGTGCCTGACCACTCAATCCACTATAGCACAACCAACACAAGCTATTAAAAGGATAATGCTGTCATACATCAGAAACATCTCAGAAATACCAATTGATTATTACAAACACATGGTACCATAACCACCACAAACCAACTAAGCCCTCCAAAACATCTTAAGTAAACCAAAAGACCTCAGTAGCCCAAGAAGAAAAAACAGGAGTCATCTACAACATATAATATAAGGACTGTAACAGCCACTATGTAGTACAGAAAGACAGAATACTAGCAGAACGTATTCATAAATACCAACTACCAATCAAAAAGCATGATGAAAACTCCTTAATCTCACAACATATGGACAGACTCAACTAGTTTCAACTGGGAATTAGTGTGCATCCTAGACCAAGCCAAATGCAAAAATGCTAGGGAATTCCTGGAAGCTTGTCATTCAGACAAATCAGCCATCAATAGGCACACAAAAATACACCATATTTACACACCATTCAAGAGAGAGAGAGAGAGAGAGAGAGAGAGAGAAAGCTAATAAGGAAACAAAAAGTCCAGAATATATCTTCTCCAGCAACCAACACCCAGATAATTTGGGATTAACACCCAGGCAAGCAGACAAGCAGAAAACAATAACCTAATCAAGGAATTACCAAGGAGATAACCACACCTCCACCAATACTGCCAGGGCAAACTACTGTATATAAACAGGGAGCAAACTTCACACTCACTCGCACTGATGATGTTACCTAGTTCAATAACATAAAATGTCTCAAGCAAACAGCCAAGCTCAGAAAGCACCAAGGAGTCCATAATTTCTCTAATCTGGTTACATCCAGATCAAATAAATTGGAAATGCAATTTCTAGAATTTCCAGCCAGTCCAGCAAAAATGATATGTCCCAAGAGTTTTGAGTCTATTTATTTTTGACTCATTGACACACTACTGAATTCCCTTTCAAGTCCATTAATTTTTTCTGGACTGTATTTTGCCAGGCTGGGAAAGGGGAGGAAGGAGATGTGTATATATGAAGATATAATGATGGTTATTTTTGAAGTGATAGTGAAGTCCCACCCCTGAAATCATGCAAATGTTTTAAGTCAGTCAGTCCTTCCTTTCTGCCTGACTGTAAGATTGTTCTCCTATGCAAATGGTTAATATAAGTTATAGAGTTGTAGGACTTGTGAAATTTTCTTATTCTAATATAGGACATTCCGATGCAAACAATCCTTTCCTGACATTCAATCCCTTGGGTCCAATTACTATATACTTCTTTTTTATTTGTATCCAAGTTGATTTTAGTTTAAAAATATACTCATGTTACTAAAGAATTTATGCTTTTTCCTCAGTCATGAAATATTTTGAAAGTGGTGAATGAAACCTAGCAGCATAGTAGACTTTTGAGAAAGGATAGAAATAAGTACACATTAATG